GGAATTTAGGCCCCTTTTACACTGCCATATAATCCAGATTATCAAAGCAGATAATCCATATTATCTACTTTGAACTGGATTATATGAGTATACACTGCCATATAATCCACTTCAAAGCAGATAATCTGGATTTTAATGGCAATGTAGAAGAGACCTTAGAATTCTTCTGAATCACTAGAGCAGAACTGGATTAATTCAGCCTTCCAGGTGTTGCTTAACTATCACTCTTAACATCCCTCACCATTGCCAGTGTTGCCTGGAGCTGCTGAGAGTTACAGCTCAACAATATCTACGCGCATCCACCTCTGCACTAGAGCTCCCTGGTAGTTTTTAGTACCTCCTTGCCAAACTACAAATCCCACAGAGCAGAACACGTACATTTAAAACATCATCAAATTGCTATAACTAGTTTAGACAAAGTCTGGAATCCTATTGGTGACATGTTGGTGCATCACATTTGGACACCATGGAATGGGATGTTCACTACCTCCTTCTGCAATCTCCAAACACACCCACAGCTTTCAAGGCCCAGGACCACTGCCATAACTGTTTACTGACTGTGGGGAGGAATGGAAGGTCATGTGTTAATTTAATTTTAATGTGAATGCAACGTTTGGATTGGATTAGTTGTCTAATGCTTTTTAACTCTTAGTGCTGCATGTATATAGTTTTAGATATTTAGTTTCAACATATTGTAGAGTACTATAGGTCTCATATTGAGAGAAAAGAGAGATACAGTACATAAAATACAACACAACACACAATTCCTGTCAAACCTGCTGTTTTGTAGCTGGGGAAAGACAAATGAGGTCAGATTTCTAGATTTTCAGCAAACTTCTTCAGATTGCAGCCTGCCTCTTCCCTCCCTCCCAGTAAACAGCTGTGACATTGACCCTAAGAATCAAAGAGTTGGAAGACATCCAATGCAATCCCTGCCATAACCTGTGCTCCACTTTCAATCACAAGCTCCATGGTTTTATATTATCCTCAGAATGAGAGACAATAAGGCTAGTTGCATGTCAACATGAGTCTGTTTTTGTAATTTCCCTTACATCATGCTTGTTGGTTTCTCTTATTTCCCAGAGGCATCTGGTTGACCTCTGTGGGAAGTGGGAACAGTGTGTGGGACTTGATAGACCTTTGGTCTGATCAAGAAGGGCTCTTCTTTGTTTTAGGCTATCTTTACTTGGTAGTTTATATTCAGCTGGACTTTCTTCTGCAGAAATACATACAGTTGTGTCTTAAGATTAGTAAAGAAAGGCAAAATGTTAAATAAGGATAGTTCTTTGCTGTTCAGTCAGGCCTTCATGCTGAAAATTTAATTTGTTCTTGTATGTTTTCAAGTTGATTCTAAAATGTGGCAATCATATTCTAGAGTCTTCTTGGCAAGATTTGTTCAGTGGTGGTTGACTTGCTCAAGGTGATCCCACAGATTTCCATGGCTGAGTAGGAATACAAAACCTGGTCTCTCAAAGTCCAATACTCAAACCACTTCATCATGTTGGTTCCTAATGCCACAGTATATTAATGAAATTAATGCCAAAATAATATATTGTTGTGCTTCTTGTGTTTTACACAAATGTGTATTTTGAGCTGGTTAAAGTGATGGCAGATGTTGCACATAATATATCTGGAAGTAAATTTGATTGACTTGGTGAGATAGTATTAAGTATAAAACCATTAAGTAGCAAAACAAATTGACAGCATTAACTTATTCTCTTCCCCGAGTAGCCCTGTGGAGTCAGTGCATTGTTTTCATTTTAAATACAGAAATCCCATATTCAGGCAGTCCATTGTTAACCACAGCTTAGGTTACTTTATTGGATTACACTTCTAGAATTTCCAGGCTGTTGTAGGGATTTGGATTGGGGATTTTGGGAGATGGAGTAAGAAAACATCCAGAGTTCTGCACTAAGCCATGATACTCTCCAGGTGACTTTGGGTGAGTTCCTTTCTTCCAGTGATAACCTATTTTGCAGGCTTGTTATTAGGATACAAACATGATTTCAAATGTGACTGAGAAATATATGTAAATCTTGACCTAACCCTTGATCTATGCCCAGATCCAGGCCTGTAGCCAGAAAAAAGAATTCGGAAGGGGTTGAAACTTTTTCTCCTGAGATGACATTTCAGGCCAGATTTCTGGCATGAGATCTCAACAAGGCCCTGGAATGATCATCATTGTGCAAAGGTTCTTCACCGGTAATTGGTCCTGAATCATTGCTCCCTCTTTAAGTTGGTTCTTGTCAACCACAAAGGACAATAGTTTCCACAATTGGCAGAAGTTTCTTTGTTTTCTTCTGCTTTCTTCTTATTTCCTTTCTTATCAAGACATTTTCCACTGTGAATTAGCAAGAAGTTTTCAGCCAAGCACAAGTTGTTCTGATGGCACTTTGTTTGTTGGTGTCCATTGAAAACTTCTACTGCAATTTCCCATCACACAAATGGTTTAGCAGTCAATGCAACAAGCTACTGATGAACACCTTTACCCCAACTTCTTCTCCAAACACCACACAGAGTTTACAGAGAGCACCTTGTACATGAAATGACTAGGCTAACCAGAGAAGCCTGCTGAACTATTTGAGTTGAAATCTTAAGTGCCTCTTCTTATCCACATATCCTGGCAATGTAGTCTGTGGATTTTGCACTAACTGAACTTTGACTTCGTCATCAGGAACAGTCTTGTTCATATAAAGACAAATGACATGGCTTCGTCTCTTTGCTCCTGTTCTATTGTTTCTTTGGCAGGGCTTGGATTAGATCAGTGGTTCTTATCTTGTGGGCCGCAGCCCAGCAGTGGGCTGCATAACCAAAAATCCGGTCTGTGAACCTCCTTCCTGCTATTTTATTTTATTTTATTTCTGCTCCTTTTGTCAGAGCTGACCAGCCTCACTCCTTTTGGTACTAATGTTGGAGAGTGGCCCTTGGTCAAAGTGGTCCCTGTTCAAATGGTCCCTGTCCAAGTGGCTCCTGGTCAAAGTGGTCCCCAGTCAAGTGGTCCCTGCCCAAGTAGTTCCTGGTCAAAGTGGTCCCTATTCAAGTGGTCCATGGTCAAATTGGTCCCTGGTCAAGTGGGCCCTAGTCAAGTGGGCCCTGGTCAAAAAAAGGTTGGGAACCCTGGATTAGATGAACCAGTGGGTGACACCTCCATTTCCACAGTTTTCACCCACAATCCAGGTCAAATCGCCCACTGCCTTAGGCTTTGCCTGCCAGTTGTGGGTAAACCAACTTTGTTGCTTCCACTATGTCAGCTATTGCTGCTATTGCAATGTAAATTGGTAGAAAGGTACGCAATGATAGTATGAATAATCAAAAATTGAGATAATGCTTGTAGTTCTGGAAGACTCTAATTTTTGCATCTCATGTACAGTACTTGGCATGGGGATCTGGTTAACCGGATCAAATTCAGGAGTAAACCTGGTAACTGTCCACCCTCCCTCCCCTAAAATTTTTCAGGGGTTGTTTTGAACCTGTAAACCGCCTCCTTCTCTACAGACTCATCATTTTTCCTGATTATTCCTGTTTATTCATCTCCTTTTTAAAAAAATCTATCTCTTTTGGCAAAAGCGATGCTTGTTCTTTGCAAACCCAACGTCCAGCCAGCAGTTCACTCTCTCTTCCAGCATATTCTATTCTATCCTCCTTCCTTTGTATTGATTCTATGCCTTTCCAGGGAGGAGCTTTTCTCTAGATATTTTTTTTATGGTGCAAACCCTGGAGTTTCTCAAAGGGTCCTTCTACACAGCCCTATATCCCAAAATATCGAGGCAAAAAATCCCACATTCTCTGCTTTGAACTGGAATATATGGCAGTGTGGACTCAGATAACCCGGTTCAAAGCAGATATTGTATGATTTTCTGCCTTGTTATTATTGGATATAGGGCTGTGTGGAAGGACCCCAAGTGTCCTCATCTTGTACATTGGTAACAGTATTTTCTTTAAATAAAGACCCACTTAAGATGAATGTGGCTGAGACCCATAAATTATCAGAAAAATGGTATCTATAACACTATATAACAAAATTTGAAAAAAAAATCTGTTCCTGGTTTGAATGTGTTTAATTGTGCAGTACTTATTTTTAAAGTACTTGTTATACATCATAAACTTTGTTTTTGTGGCTGCCACAAACTGTGTTGAATTGGTTGAGACTCTATGAGATGTTCATTGAAAAAGTATAGCAAAATGTGCTGCAGGGTGTCCCACAAAAACAAAGATTTTGCAGTTTAATAAACTTTTTCCATATTTTTATGATAGAACCAATTAGAAAATGACAGTTATAACCCAGGGGCAAAAATTGTGTTTCATAGTGTAAAAGAGTAAGGTCTATTTTACACAAAGGTGGTGGAGGCAGGGGAGAGGGGTTGGAGACAAAAGAGAAAAGCAATGCGTAAACGAATCCCAGGAGGATCCACCCAAACCAGAGAATGTTAAAAAGTGATTAAGCAGCCAGGACCAGATGGTCAATTTGAATAGCCAGCCCCCAGTGAAAGTATTTCATTTTCATGGCTCTCTTCTGCTTTGTTCTGTCCGATCCATCCTCTGTGCCACCCTCACCCTTAAAAAGATATAATTCCTAAGACTTTGTTTCGGGTAATTTGAGACGGAATCACTGAAGCAAGGCCAGGTAGTTAAAATTCAAGATGATAACAATGCTGAGACTTTAGAATAATTAAAATTTAGCATATCAGGAGTCAAATTGAGGAGTAAAGCAGTAATAAAAATGTTTTAAAAATCCTATAGTATAATAAGAAAACTCTTTTGCACTGCATTTGTTTTATGAGGTTTTCTTTGTACAATGTTATTGTTGTTTTAAAATAATTATCTCTCTCTTTTCCCCAATGGCTTTTTTATCTGCCCAATCCTCATCTTCCCTTTGATCCTGGGGATGCTAAATATTCATAACCTCATTTGCATGGGGATCTCTCCAGGCCAATTGCAACACAGGAGAAAAGAACTGTGCAATGAAGTTCCTTCCTCTCTCTTATTCACTCTGAAATTACTCCACCGTCTTTGGGCAGTGAATTAGGCGAAGGAGGTTTTGCAAGCAACTTTACACAAGAGGATTTCTGCTGTTTGGTTGCTAGTCCTGATTTAGTTCAAGGAGGCAAACCAGACACTTTTTATGCCAGCGTGCCTTAATGGACCAGGAAAGGCTTTAAGAGAAAGTGGCAAAATGAAAGTGAACGTGAGTAGCAAACCTTGCTTGTTGCAATTGCATATTGAAGGGTTTGTGTAGATTTGATTTCACAGATTTATCTACTGTGTCCACAGCTATAGATAATAGACAAGATGCAACTTTATAAGGAGAGAGCTTTTTGCATTTGGATTGTTTGTTGTCTTTCTAAGGATATCCTGAAAACAATAGCTCCCATCTGATTTTTGAAAGCTAAGCAGGGACAGCCCTGGTTAATACATGGTTGGGACACCACCAACAAATACTGTTGTAGGCTGTATTTCAGAAGAAGGAACTGAGTATTGTTCACCTAAGAAAATGCTTTGAAAATTCATCAGGATGTCATATGTCAACAGGCATATATAAAAATACACACACACACACACACAGTATACATTGAACATTTTATTGAACATTGAACAGATGTTCAATGTTGTCCCATCCATGTATTAGCCAGGGCTGTCCCTGCTTAGCTTTCAAAAATCAGATGACACCTATTGTTTTCAGGACAGAATGTTCAATGTCTTGATGTCTTGTCAAAGGCTTTTTTTTTTTTGCCAGAATCACTGGGTTACTGTGAGTTTTCCGGGTTTTATGGCCATGTTCCAGAAGCACTCTCTCCTGACATTTCACCCACATCTATGGCAGGCATCCTCATAGGTTGTGAGGTCAGTTGGAAACCAGGCAAGTGGAGTTTATATATCTGTGCAATGTCCATTCACACTTGCCTCAAACAGACATAAGTTCTTTCTCCCACCGGGGACATTCCACAGATATATAAACCCCACTTGCCTAGTTTCCAACGTACCTCACAACCTCTGAGGATGCCTGCCATACATGTGGGTGAAACGTCAGGAGAGAATGCTTCTAGAACATGGCCATACAGCCTGGAAAACTCACAGCAACCAATTGAATAGAATGTTTTATTTTGCTAGTTTGAAAGAAAAAGCTGCCCAGATAATAGTTTTGATGGATGGCCATATCTATTTTTGACATGCATCAACAACAATAACAGTGATAACAGTAGTATAGAAATAATATAAGCAACTCTAGAAATAATATATAATGTATAGAATATAATAGAAATAGTATAAGCAACATCCTCACTTAGATGTTAGACTCACTGACTGCAGTGTGCTTGCTTCTGAGTAGCTATATGTAAAGATGCACTTTTCAGGGATGCAAAATGTTCCCCAAATAGGTATTACAACTATTTTTAAGTTAGCTTTTTCATTAATAAATTAAAAATCTCATTATACATGTCTTCTGTCATCTTCTGCCTTATAGTCGATCTATGAAAAAGATAACTATAAAGGAAGGAACGTGGGTTTTGGTGTTGAGGAAGCGAGAGATAAAACACAGTTTTATTAACTTGTAAAAATATTGCATGCACAACATTTCATATCAGTTTTAATCTGATAGTCTTATAGATAAGTTGGAACTGATTATTTCTCGGCAAAAGACTTGCTAATTGTGACAATCACATGCATGTGTTGTCCCTAGTTTTGCGAGGGGGGGGGAGCAAAATGTTAATGGGAGCCAGGATGGTGTGGTTTGGGCGTTTGGAGACCAGGGTTCAAGTCCCTAATTAGCCATAGAGACCTCCCATGAGACCATACAATGAGTTGGAAGAGACCTCATGGGCCATCCAGTCCAACCCCCTGCCACGAAGCAGGAAATTGCATTCAAAGCACTCCTGACAAATGGCCATCCAACCTCTGCTTAAAAGCCTTCACAGAAGGAGCCTCCACCACACTCTAGAGCAGAGAGTTTCACTGCTGAACAACACTCACAGTCAGGAAGTTTTTCCTAATGCTCAGGTGGAATCTCCTTTCCTGTAGTTTGAAGCCATTGTTCTACATCCTAGTCTCCAAGGCAGCAGAAAACAAGCTTGCTCCCTCCTCCCTGTGACTCCCCTTCACATACATGGCCATCATGTCTCCTCTCAGCCTTCTCTTCTTCATGCCAAACATGCCCAGCTCTTTAAGTCGCTCCTTATAGGGCTTTTTCTCCAGCCCCTTGATCATTTTAGTCACCCTCCTCTGGCCCCATATAGCCCATTGATTCCCTAACATTGAGCTATGGCAGTTTAAATGGGATCACCTGGAATACTTCTGCAATGTAGACACATGCTGAGATGTGCCTGCATATTTCAGTTCAAATTAGACTGGTACAGATTCTATGTTTTGGTTCAGTGGAATTAACATAAGTAAGCATTCAGGACTATTTAATGCTGTGGTTGCCTCATACCTGCTATTCTTTTCCTTTTCTTTGAAATCCTTTAAAATCAGTGTGCCAATCTGCCATAATATTGTCAAAATAAACTAACATAGTTTAGGAGGCTATTTCAAATGAATTTATCTGGGAGTATCAGTCCTATCTCAGCAGTGACTCAATATTTGTTCAAGGTGAATAACTTCAATCGCCATAGTTCTGTCATCTTTGGAGGAGTAACCCTGTTGCACCAAAAAACAACAGAGTTTTCTGGCATCTTAATGACTGAAAATATTTACAATAGTATAGGTGTCTGTAGATTACATATCCCACATCGTCAGATACAGATGTCTCATCTTTGATGACTAGAACCAATTATTAACTCAAAGATGCATTGACACAAAGATATAAAATACAGACATGTGAGGAATCAACTCCAGCATTTTTTTTCTCAGTTTGCATGCTTTGGAGTGGCTATGAACTGCTGCAATTTGTGCTATGGGATTGTTAGTATACAGACTGATGTGGACAGATGTGGAATTCCACATTAGAAACATATGAATAGAAATTTTCAAATGCACATGCAATATAAATGCATGGTTTAATCAATTGGCCTCTGGGCCAGACTTTGGACGTGCCTGGTTTAATCAATGGGAAGAATGGGCAAACTTGTGGATGGGGTTCATCCCATAACATTTATGTCTATGGTTACTACAGTGATGATCTGTAGCAGAATCTTATTGGACTTGAGTTCTGTTAATATCTTGAACCAAAGTAAGGTTTCTCCTTGACATTAAGTCTAGTTGTGCCCAACTCTGGGAGGTGGTCCTCATCTCATAACTAAGCCAAAGAGCTGGTATTTATCCATAGACACCTCCAAGGTGATTTGGGCAGCATGACTTCATGGAGGGTTGTGACCTTCCTAGCAGACTTTTGCATGTTTTCAAACTGCTAGGATGTTAGAAGCTGGGGCTAACAAAAAAAGCTCACCCCTCTCCCCAGATTCAAACTTCTGACCTTTTGGTTAGCAAGTTCAGCAGCTCAGCAGTTTAACCCACTGCACTTCCATGGGCTCCTGAACCAAAGTAGTTCCAGGTGATGGACTCCTAGATAATATTCAAAAGGCATAATGAAGCTATTCAGGTTTGTGCCCACTTTGTTGAATTTTATTGTGAAAGAAAAAAGAAAAATGATGGGAAATATGAATGGATTATAAAGGACCGGGCAATTGCCTTTCTTGGAAGCATATGGCGTCTCTTATCTAATGGCATAATCTTTCTGTATAACTTGTAGCTGTATTGTGTCTTGCTGTGAAGTGTAAAGTTTATTTAGTGTTTGTGTGTGCACAAGCCTATAATAGGCAACTATTCTAAATAAGTATGCCTTGGAGAACCAGCATGTTATAATGGTCTGAGTGTTGGACAAGGACACTGGGACATCAGGATTCAAATCCCTGCTCGGCTGTGGAAACCCACTGGGTAACCTTCTGCAAATCACATATCCTCAGTCCCAGAAAACTCCATGATAATTTTGGACAAACCAGAGAAAAATCCCTCTCATTCAATTCTGACAAGAAAATCCCATGTTAGGGTTACCTTAAGGTCACCATAAATCAGAAACAACTTGTCAGCACACAAGAACAACTGCCACGATAGCAAACCAGCTTGGTTTGCAGAATGTTCCAAAATCCAGCTTACTGTACTACATTCTATTAGGGCCACAAGAGCTCTGCAGCTCTTCTACCAGGATAGATAAAGGTAAAGGTTTTCCCCTGACGTTAAGTCCAGTTGTGTCCGACTCTGGGGGTTGGTGCTCATCTCCATTTCTAAGCCAAAGAGCCAGCATTGTCTGTAGACACCTCCAAGGTCATGTTGCTGGCATGACTGCATGGAGCGCCATTACCTTCCCACCGGAGCAGTACCTATTGCTCTACTCACATTTGCATATTTTTCGAACTGCTAGGTTGACAGAAGTTGGGGCTAACAGCGGGAGCTCACACTGCTCCTCAGATTCGAACCTGTGACCTTTCAGTCAGCAAGTTCAGCAGCTCAGCGCTTTAACCCACTGCGCCACTGGGGGCTCCCAAGATATACTGTCGCAAAAAACAAGTTCCTGTTAGTGGAAGGGAGGGGGAAGAAACTGAGTTGATGTTGGCACTACAGTGCACACATTATGTATTCAGATGGCATAAGAGAAGAAAGGTCTGTAGGCTTAAAGGGCTCTGGCAGGTGATATGATGATTTTACTTGATGGGTTGTTGGCAAGAGTTGAGAAGACCACAACAAACTTTAGTTGGACCTTGGGGTCCTGCATTCTGCCTAATTGATCCCGATCCCCAATTTTATGTGTGACAACCCCTCATGGGGAAGTGAGGGTACTGGGTTTCTGAGGTCCTCAAAATGCCTGGAAGGCACATGCTTCACCATTCATTGTTTCAGGATTCAGGTAAACCTCAGAAGCACAGATAGTGGAAATGAAAGAGAAGTTGGGTCCTCCATATTTGAAAGGTATGAAAGTTGTAAACTCACTTTAATTGTACAGACAAATGTTAGATTGGATTTTGTAAGAGAATTCTTTGTCATCACAGACTGTAAGGAAAAGAGGATGATCCTAGGACTTTTCTGCCTCTCTGTCTTTCTCTGTGTCAACTCCAAGATATAAGACTTAGATCCAGTAGTGGATGGTTGCAATTTTAAGGAAGCAGTCAATCTGCTCTGACCAAATTTTAAAGGACTTGACTTGTCCAAGGTGCTGAATCATATTGCCAAATTAGGGTTAGCTGCTTCAATAACTTCATC